TGTGTGTGTGTGTGTGTGTGTGTGTGTGTGTGTGTGTGTGTGTGTGTGTGTATGTGTGTGTGTATGTGTGTGTGTGTGTGTGTGCCTGGAGAAACACCACAAAATTGTTAAAATGGGAATTTTAAGTTATCAGTTGTTTCTAATATGAAATTCAATGCTGACTGAATCCACTGCTTTTTTTCACTTTTGACATAGCTCAAATTTTCAATAGATTAGTCAAGGAACAAAAATATTTCAGAAACAAAGCTTCGAAGCTTTACATTTTTGTTCACAAAGTATAATATCCAGTCTTCAAAATAATTAGTCTTTGAACTGTTAAAAAAGCCGAGTTAGGTCTAATCAAAAACATATATTTCTGTCTCAGAAATATTTTTATCAAAAATCTACGTTTTTCAACCAGTATAAAAATGAATTGTTATTTCTTCTTGGTCTTTTCAGCCCTTTGCTGAAACCCAATATTGCAGAATTTTTGGGGTGGTTATTCGAGCAGACATACATATCATATATTTATTTCATTTTTTGAATGTTGTTGCTGCTGCTGCTGTTTTCGTTCCAGCAACAGCTGGGCTCCCACCATTCTGTTCAATGTCATGTTGTGGTCAGAGAAGGTTTTGTGCAGTTACTGCTGTATTCCATAGGGAGTGTCGTCGATGTTAGGTCTCGGGGAAGGGAGGGGGGGGGGGAGGAGCAGCGTAGCTCTGATATCATTTCGAGTTGCACACTTGAATAGGTGATGATCCACGGTCTCATGAGTCATGTCACGATGGATTCTGAAGCTGGTCAACTTTTTGGCATAGAGTAATTGATGTCACTTTAACGCCTGATCATTTGCTTATTTTTTTAATAGAAAAAAACCCTTCTATCGTGAATAGAAGGCGAGATACTTGCGATTGAAGGAGATGGGGGGTTGAATGGTTTCAAAAGTAAAATTAACGAGAAAGTGTCCGGCAAAGTTTGGTGTCTGACAAAGCTGTAGTGTCCTTGGAACCAGCAAATTATTTTTTTGTTTGTTTGTTTTTTTGTTAGAGAGGGGGGGGGGGCTTTGAGCAACGTTTTTCAGTAAAATTTACACAGTAAACTGTTGTTTAAATGCAACACAAAACTAAATAGAAATTGCCTAAAGAGCAGAAAAATGTCGGCTTCTTCGATGTCATTATTTAATGAGCGCATTATTTCCCCCACAATGCCACATATGTGTATAGTCATAGAAAGGATTCATTTGGGGAAATTCTGTGTTTGTTCTGTTGCAATGGAAATTCAGCTGTTTATTATGGCTTTATTCAGAAGCGGAAGCTATTCTTAATGCAGCTTTTATAGTAGATAAATTTGGGTATCCCGTATCACATTCAGACTGGGTTGTGCCTGACTGGCAGCGTCGAAGTAGCCTGCCTCCTAAATTGTTTGAATTGTATCGATCTGGACTTAGAACATTTCACAATCGTTTACAATTAATAGCTGGTGAAATATTAATAATCATACGTATGAATAATTTTTAAACAAATATGTGTTTCTTCTCTTCCAAAAACAGTCATGCATTGTTTACTTTGAGCAGTCGGTTCGTAGCATTATCAAGTTCGCCAAGACTGTACCGGGCTTTAGGGATCTCTGTCTGGACGACCAGGCGATGATGTTGAAACGTAAGCAAATAACGGGACTAATTTATGCGTTAGACTATAGAAATATTGTTGTTGTTGTTGTTGTTGTTGTTGTTGTTGTTGTTGTTGTTGTTGTTGTTGTTGTTGTTGTTGTTGTTGTTGTTTGAATTCATAACATGTGTCGCAAGGTGGTGGTAGGGGTGTGATGAAGAAGAAGAAGAAGAAGAAGAAGAAGAAGAAGAAGAAGAAGAAGAAGAAGAAGAAGAAGAAGAAGAAGAAGAAGAAGAAGAAGAAGAAGAAGAAGAAGAAGAAGGAGGAGGAGGAGGAGGAGGAGGGAGAATGGATAAGGAGAAGTGGACGAAGAGGAGTGGAAGAGGAGGAGGAGGGGAGGAGAAGGAGAAGGAGGGATGATGATGATGATGATGATGAT